GATGAAGTACTGGTTAACTGATGATGTAATTGTTTTTAAAGTGATGACGTAATTGTAACTGATGATGTAATCACGTACCCTCTATAGATGTACCTGCACTGGTCACCACAGCGAGGGTAGGGTGTGCATAGGCAGGGAGTCGTAGCATCTAGAGAGACAACACGAAGGCGTAGCACCCAAAGCGACAGGTGCGTTTCAACCCTGGTCTTGGACCTCCTACGAGTATGTGATCCATGGTCCATGCAACTTGTGATCGTGATTGCGACCTCAACAGCGGCGCAGACCAGTGATGCCAGTTTCGGCTTTCGGGTGGACAGAGCTCTCCGCTTCTGCATGGATTTGAATATCATATCGCTAGCACAGTATTGTTGCTGTGCAGGCAAGCGTGATCTGCGCTGCTGGCGGAAGCGGTGTTGAAATGCCGGACTGCTGAGCCACGGCTAGTTGGACTGTTAAAATGCGCAATGGGCGCTTTCAATTACTTAATCATACATTCTCTCTACCCGGGTTTCGAATGAACGGATTGCGGCCATGTAAGCGAACGACTACACGTAAAAATCGTAAAAGGAGATCACTTGTGATCTCGTACACACTCGCGCACACGTGGTCTTAGGCCTCGGTCACACTACGGCAAGTTTGAAGCTGGATGCAGCGTCAAGCCGCAGCACTTGACGCAGACGCGGGGTCACACAGTGTTTTGTTTTTTTGCAGCCCATGACTGCCGCGGCCTGACGCATTAATTTTTATTTTGTCTACGTCACAAAATCACCAGGGAAACTCAATGACGACACGGATTCCCACGGAAACCGGCCTTTGCTTATTACACAAAAATTGTCGGACAAAGTTTTCAAATTTTTCATTGATTTTTGATTAAAAGAAGACGAAAGGTCCACGCGCACGCGTGCACAATCGTTGTTGTTTCTTTCCGAATTTGAAGCCATTTTCAGTTGTAGTGTCATGGATCAGGCAAGAAAAGTCCGCATCGCAGCTGTGTTTCTCCTGACTTCGTCATACTGGTTGTCCTTTTTGGGGCTCTTGACGACAACACAACACTCACAAGTCAACAGGCTCCAGTTGGCCAATGACCCACTCGAACAACTGGTCCTTTTCTCGACATCATTTTCTTCTCAGAAAACGCCTCGCTCTTCCGCCAGGTTCGGAGCAGAGCAGCCTCGGCCTCGTAGGTCCACGGACTCATCTCCAAAAAAAGAGAGAACAAAACAAACCTTGAAGAGACGAATGTCGAATGACTGCTCAACTCAAGCAACTGTCTTGAAACTAATTTTACTCGAAAGACACTGTTTTTCCGCAAAGCGTCACTCCCATCAGCGGCAACGCAGCCGATTTCCCCACGTCAGACGCAGCAGCGTCTGACGCTCAAACTTCCCGCGGTTGCGTCAGTTGCCATGGAAAAGCTCACGATTCTGACGCTGATGCAGCATTTTTGCCGTAGTGTGACCGAGGCCTTAGCATGGCGTGCACGCCGAGTGCGTCAATTCTGGCGGGAGTAGCAATTCCGCCCTCTCTACAGAATCGACGGAGATTCCGACGACGGAATTTGCGTAATAGAACGATGCATCGACCATAACTAATTTTAGAATTGACGGAAATGTGGGTAGTCGAACGCGCCCGATGTGTCTCTTTGTGTTTGCCCAGCTGCTCAACCAGGCCCGTGGAGCCAGTACAGCGCATGTAGTGTATCATGTGGAGATATGGGTGGGACGCAGGTCAGGAACAGGACATGCCTCAATCCTGGTCTCACCAACGGCTGCATGGGAGCACAGCTCAGTGAAGAGGTGTCTTGTAACGTTGGTGTACCCTGTTTCAGTAAGTACGAGTACAATGTCCGGGCATGATTGATTTTGTTTGAATACTGATTCTCTTGCATGCCGTTGGGCTGCAGCCAGTTTCTCTCCTTTTTGCACAAATTCAATAGGCGTACATACACGGAACACAACAGACACAAGGCTAGTTCGTCGCAACTCTGAGTTCCATACTTGACATGCCACGAGGTGCAGAAATAAAAAAATAAAAAAATATAAAAATACTACAGTAAAACCTGGTGTAAGCGACTTCTGGGTTTAGAGACCACCTGCTCTTAACCACCGCTTTTCCATGCACCGACAGTTCTACACAGACACTGTGGGACCTGGTTCTAAAGACCCCCTGGCTTTAACGACCGCCTTTGCTTGCACCGTGGGGTGAGGGTCGCAAAATAAAACCAGGTTTCACTGTACAGTGTAACCTGTCTAAGGCGGAGGGAGTGTAGTCCTTGTGTCTCCTAATCCATTTGACTGGACATAACATCCTTGCCGCCGGCCTCGGGTCATAGTTGTAGTTGTCGTCTGGTGCAGGTGGTCGCCTTATCAGAGTGGTCGCCTTGACAACAGGTTCTACTGTATGCAATCACCAGGCTACGTACTGGCTGCATCTTCCCGCCGTGTGGTACACACGCACAATCTATATGGCTAGTCTTGGTGATGCTACTGCGGGGTGGAATAACAATACAATACTCGGACCTAGTGACCATTTCACTGCATACTTGCAATCTCACGGATAACTACACACGATTGAGGGTCGTTGTTCACAAGGTTGACTATAGTCAAGATGGCGGATGGAGATTGTTTAACCCTTATCCAGCCGCTAAATTTGACTACAGCAAAACCTGCAACTAAAGACCACCGTGACTAGCGACCAGCCTGGTACTACAGTAAAACCTGTAACTAAAGACCACCGTGACTAGCGACCAGCCTGGTACTACAGTAAAACCTGTAACTAAAGACCACCGTGACTAGCGACCAGCCGGCTACTACATGTACAGACCACTGCGCCAGGCACGGACGGTCTCACATTCATATAATTATGGTTTTGCGGTGCTAACCTCTAACTGAAGACCACCTGCCACTAAAGACCGCTTTCTCTGGCCGCAATGGGTGGTCGTTAGTCACAGGTTTAACTGTAGTACAGTAGTTTTGATTCACGGGCAGGCACCGTGTCCTTTCTGTTCATAACGTTGGTGTCCCCGTATGAATTTTCAAAATCCTGGGCGTCTTGGACAGCCGTAGGCAGGTAGATGCACCCTAAGAAGGTTTCAATCTTTGTTTGTATAAGACAAACTATAGATCAATCGAAATCTAGTCTTTGGAAGCGGCACATCGCTCTGTTCCACTCTTACCACTCCCATCGCTTTCTGGTTTCAAATACCGTAAAAGTTCGTAAATAAGTACGTATTTACTTTCGAATTTAGTGACCACACCCGTACTAACTTTCGGGCGGGTACTGACTTTCGGGCACGAACAAACTTTCAGACCTGACTTGTGTGTAGTGCAGAAGTCTTTTTCATGTCGACGTACATGCTACATGCTGCATGTGCGCATCGTACCGGTACTTATTTCGGGCAGTATGTTTTTCGGGCTTGACTTGACTTCAACAGACAGAGCCAAAAGAATGAAGGGGGTATTTCTTTCGGGCAGGTACTTATTTACGGACTTTTACGGTACTGAGTATGCACCTTAAATTGTAACGAATGGGAACCTTGCTCCTGGGGACATGTCCTCGTCAATTGTTGTGTAGGCATCATCTCCACCCATACAACTATCATAGGTATGGCTGTTGTTTCGTACGCGGGCGACAACAGGCCTCATCCATTGGATTCTAACTTCGCTTTTAGTCATAACATGATGCTCAATTTGAAGCACTGTTAATTTAAGGTGACTCTTTCTTGCTTCTTTTGACACCAACATAGTGCAAATTGGACAGCAAAATTTAATGACAGAGTTACAAAATGACAAACCCATCGACCTATAGTGGTCGATTTTTGTGTGGCTGGCTGCACAAGAGTTAATTGGATTGTGTGTGTGTATGTGTGCGTGTGCGTGTGTGTGTGTGTGTGTGTGTGTGTGTGTGTGTGTATGTGTGTGGTTATGTGTGTGTGTGTATGTGTGTGCTTATGTGTGTGTGTGTGTGTGTGTGTGTGTGTGTGTGTGTGCACGCTTGTGTGTGTGTGTGTGTGTGTTTCTGTTTGAAGTATACATACCTGTTAACCATGGACTGCTTCTGGCTAGATTAACTCTTGTGTAATCAATGGTGCTAGTGAAGCTTATATCAGATCCACTCTGATTTAGCCACCCACACTAGTGCCAAGTATTACCTTCACTGGGGGCAGGGGTACCTGCAGTTGGATCCCGGGACGGACAACCTGATGCCGTCAATCCTTTTTCTGCACCTTGTCCTCACCCACTTACTGAGGTGTGGTGAGCCCATAAGTGGGATCATTTCAAGTCCACCATAGTTTGGGGATTTTAGGGGGTGTCGGCCGTTGGGTGGTTCAATGGCCAATTGAGTCATCTTTCCAAGATTCCTTTTGAGTCTCTCTCCCCTCTCCCGGGGAGACCCACGTGACCAGTTTTGGCAGTGAGCAAGTACAAGTACAAGTGTGTGTGTGTGTGCGTGTGTGTGCTTGTGTGTGTGTGTGTGTGTGTGTGTCCGCGCGCGTGTGCATGTGCGTGTGCACGTGCGTGCATGTGTGCGGTACCTGTGTGACCATGTTCACTGCAGCCCTAACCGAATGGAGCGGGTTTGCACCTTGCAGTGTCTCCTGCGGCCAGGGCATGCAGACACGAATGCGCATGTGCCTCGACAGTACTAGTAACTGCAATGGTGCAGCCTTGAGCCAAACGCAGACCTGTTCTCGCGGTAGCTGTCCAGGTATGCTATTATGGGTAGATTCTTGTGAAGTGCGGCATGCCATGATGATAATCTCGCTATCTACTGTTAGCATTCCGCGCACACAGACGACATGCACACGGGCATACACCACATGAGTAAAGCTGGGCTGTGTTGGGCGAATGGTGGTGGCAAGGAACTAGTTGGTCTTTGCAGCATGGTGGGCACTAGCCTGTGAAGCTGCGAGTGACGCAGGAAAGCAGAAGCCTGGAGGCTGTGATTGCCGCAATGGAAAGGCAGACCAGTTATGGGTGACTCGCCACCAAGTTTATTTTACTTGAAGTAGGAATGATGCAATGTGATATTATTGGTTAGTGGTGGGGTGGCGGGTCAGACAAAAGACAAAGGCAGCAGGGTGCAAGTCGGGCATGAGCCAAAGCGGAGAAGACTCGAAACTGGGAATGGCAAGGAGATATGCCATGTTGTTGTATTATTATTTTAGGTATGAGGCCAACCGGGACTATGTTAGATGAACAGAAATTTTAGGCACGGAGAAGCAGTTCCCCGGTAGGATTATGTGTGTCAATGTGTGTTTAGCTATTGAAATATTAGATATGAAAGAGATGCAGCGAAAGTACCGACAATTAAAGTACACTGGAAATTTGTGAAATTGCAATACGTGGACAAGAAGTCACACGCTATGATTGGAAGTTTAACTCGGATACTGAGCCAGTAAATATAATTGAAAATAGAAGAAATGACATGGAAACGTGTCACATGGAAACGAGTTATGAAGCAACTATCTATAGTTGCTTCATAACTCGTTTCCATGTGATTCCTTCTATTTATGATTGGAAGATGTGACCTATTACTATTATTCGAAGTGAATTGGTGAGCACACATGCTCATTCCCTGGGCACTGCAAATTCACAACTCATTTCATTTCACAGAATCATTTTCAACGTTTTGGCAAATTGCCATCATCCGGATGCAATATGAAGTGGAAGTCTGCCAAGGAGCAGTTATAAACATAAGAAAAAAGAAATATTATCAAAACCTAAGGACACCAAATTAGTGTATAGTAAAGCTGTTTCCCACGTTGGGTCCTCCATAGGACTTTTTGAAATATTTTTTTGCATTTTCCAGATTTATCCATGGCAACGTTCAAGCCACGCGAAACACAAGGTACACACACCGTACGCCACGTGCAAAATAAAATGGAAAACGCGGTTTAGGTTCAACCAATGCGTCTCCAAAGCAACAAGGCATGTTAAGCAGTTGTGGAGAAATCAAGTGGAGCGAAACCCAACAGCGCTGATTTTTACGTATGAAAATTACGTGCAGTTCCTACGTTATTTTCATACGTAATTCCGTAGAGCGAAACCTCCCTAATATTATATGTCTTTCCTTCTCACTTCAGTGAATGGTAACTGGTCTCCATGGTCACCGTGGAGCTGCTCTACGACGTGCGGAGGTGGTGTGAGGAGCCGGACTCGTACGTGTGATAACCCGCCAGCGTCGGCTGGGGGAGTCAACTGTTCCGGCAACGCCATGCAGGCCAACCTGACCCTGTGCAATGTGGCACCTTGTAAGTTATACAGATCCCATTGCATTTCCATCTTTGGTACAGTCAGACCTCACTTAACCGGTCCTCTTTTACCCGGACCCCTCGCCATCCGGAAGAAAATCGTTGGTTACCGATGTACAGCATATGTCATGCATACATACAGTATGTGTGTTCGATTATCCGGTTCCCTCGCCTATCCGGATATCTTTGTGGTAAACGGATGTGTGCGGTTTTAGTGAGGTCTGACTGTATTCAGACCAGCTGGGTAGAGGTATGCAATCAAGAGTGCTCTTGGGATCATGCTGGTTTAATCTACCCTCAGGATTCAGCCCTAGGGCCATGGACAACAAGAGAAGCACTCAACGACAATATCAGCCATCAATTACCTGTCCAGAGCGTGTTCTATTTGCTTTCTCACATGACTCGGGTCCTTGGCTTAGAAAAACCGGTGTTATTCCGTTCACCCAATACATCTTTGTGTTGACGAAATACAATAGACCGATTGTCATTTGTGCAGATCCACGAAATCCCGTAGAATCCCGTAGACCCAGTAGGGTGTTGAATGTGCAGGACCCTATTGTGTTTTCTGCTATTTCCACTAAGAAATGGGGCCTGAAGGCATTTCATACGAAAACCTTTTTCTGACAAAGATCTAGCTAGTCATTAGTTCTAACCAAAGTGAAGAAGCTGGAAAAGCGATTGCTGGTCATTGAATTATGACCCTGAAAAGGTCAAATGCATATGCATAGCACACAATGAACACCCTACCGGGTCTACGGGATTCTACGGGATTCCGTGGATCTGTACAAATGGCAATCGGTCCATTACATCGTTCTGTTGACCCATTGCATCATTGCCATGACCCATTGCGTCATTCTCTTGATCCATTGCATCATTCTCTTGATCCGCTACGTCATTCTGTTGGCTATTAACGACGTGTCAATCGTAAGGTATCCCAATATCTGTATAGAGGTACTGAGAGTGATTTCATCGAGTTTTCGAATGGACACAAGTGTCAGCACAGCTATTAACTGGCATTGTTGATAGCGCCTGCCCAGTCCAATGTACTTTTTGTCTTTCAACATGATTTGTAGGTTTGTGTTCTCTTTAAAAGAAGAAAAAAAGTATGCGAGCATGCCTGTTCACCTTAGTGGCGAATGCAGACCTCACAAGTGAGTTGAGTTAGGGGAGAGGAGGTGAGTCTCTCAAACAAACCGGGCGGGCAACGGACCATAACCTTGTAAACTGCACCAACGCGGATCATGCGAACATTATTATTGTTGTTATTATTATACGAGCATGAGTCGGCAGTTTTTGGAATGATCACTATACGAAGTACCGTATTTCCCCGAATATATGTCGCACCTTTTTTACAGAAAATATCAATGGTAAGAAAGTGCGACTTACAATCGAGCATGACTTACTACTGAAGTGAATACTTACATCACAACAATATTGCTCAAACCTGAAAATGGGAGTGCGACTTATAATCGAGTGCGACTTATAACCTGGCAAATACGGCATGCAGCGGGGGTAGCTAGCGTAAGTACAGCGCTGTGCCGCGAGTAGTCCGTGACTTCGCAGAAGCATCTCAGCTGATGGTGTAATTGCATAACCTCTGTTCCGTCGTACCGTCTGTCCGTTGCTTGATTTCCCCTTTCAGGCCCCATTGACGGTGGATGGTCATCCTGGACACCGTGGGCATGTAATGCTAGCTGTGGCGGGAATCTTGGAGTACAGGTGCGTACACGACTCTGCAATGCGCCAGCGCCTCAGTTTGGTGGCCGCAACTGCTCTCGATTGGACGCGGCCTTGGAGACGAATGGATCGTCTTGTATCAGTGCAACGTGTAAGCAATGAACAGTATGTGTCCTTGGTCCAATAGCATGACCAGATTTGCGGACACAAACACACACACACGCACATGCACGCACGCACGCACCCCCTCCCCCCACGCATGCACCCCCCCCCACACACACTCTCTCACTCTCATCACCTCTCTCTGTTTATGTGTGTGTGTGTGTGTGTGTGTGTCTATGTGCGTGTGTGTGTCTCTCTCTTCATTGTCTTGTTTTCCTATCCCACCGGCATTCCAGGTCCAGCTATCATTGTTCCGACAGTTGTCAGAGCCAGTCTAACCACAGCCCCCACTGGACTGGAGTCAGACAGCCAAGCGGTCGTATCCCAAGCTGTGGACATCACTGTAGGATCAGCTCTGATTTCAGCATGTCCAGCCCCAGTGCAACAAAACAGTGGCAACGGGGCCCAACAGGTGAGGAGGGCTGAAGAGGGGAATCACCTTTTAAAGTAGCAATACACAGTGCACATTCCACCGTCATCACCACGCATCAAATTCAACAAAGTCATTAAGGTTGTCCAAAAACCAGTTTTCAGGTCACATTCATCAATGGAAGATCGTGACTGAAGGTTAGGCCTTGAAAACAAGGATCGGCCTACATTCGAAAATGTGCTACGAGCAAAAAAAGGGGGAACGATTGTTAGAACCTGGGCATCATCGAATGGTAGTTCTGCAGCTTCCCGTGAGCTCAGTTTGGGTAAAGGCTCACGTATGATTGTAGATCTGTGACCTGATGACCCTCCAGAGCTAGTTGCATTGTGTCGAGATACAACCATTTCATGATGACACGCAGACTTCTGAATCTATTATGTAAAAGCTTCAGACCTGAAAGCACACAGACCTGAGTCACCCATAATCACAATGTTGAAAAATGTCATGGGTTGCAAAGCATAAATACATAACGCAGTGAATTTGACTTCACACTTCTGACTTCACCTTAACAAAACTAGCATGCACTCCCGAGCCAAAACAGGACACCATCCTGAGAGTGATGCAGAACATTTGTGAACTCCTTCCAGCCATTCCCTTCTGTTCAGCTACATAAATATGCTGCTTGTCACGTAAACAAATAATATAGTGTCACATAAATCTGCTGCTTGCCACATAAATCTGCTCTTTTGCCACATAAATCTGCTCTTTTGCCACATAAATCTACTCTTTTGCCACATAAATCTACTCTTTTGCCACATAAATCTGCTGTGTTCAATCCGGCTTGTGCTCATGTCCAGGTCAATTGGTACGGTCCAAACACGCAGTCTCAGCTCGTGTCAGCTGGTAACATCTTGCTGCTGGATAGCGTGGAGATGAAAGACGGCGGCCGGTATTGGTGTCGCAGAGACGGCGCTGCAGGCACCGCGACGTACACGGCTTCAGTGGACGTACGTGTTTCCAGCGCAAGTGGTAAGTCAAGGACATCAGAACCGGTCTAGCCAAAGCCGCAACAATATTTTTTTCCTGTGATTCTTGAATCAATGAAAATTTCATTTAATATGAACTCGGATGGTGAGCCAATTCAATTATTGTAAAAGAAGGAGAAGGACAACGTGTTACGTGTTATGACTATCCACCAACGTAACCAGATCTTAGAACGAGGTCTGTCTCGTTGTCCAGGAAACGACCAATCAACGACATTCCCGCCAAGGGCCTTATCAGAGTTTAAAGCCCGCTCAATCGTTATTTTACTACTCTTGATGACGCGTCGAGGGCCTTGGATTAGTTTAAAGCCCGCTGAATAGTTATACTCTAAACTGGTGCGTACAACTCCCTGTATGCATTATAGTACGGTGCAGATAGTGAACTCTGCATAAAATGTACGGTGTACTACTCAATGCTACGCATTTCAGATGTGTGTTCGGTTTTTGCCTCCCGTATTCTTTCATTTGTACGAATTTCCTTTGTCAACAGCTTGCGGAAACCTATAAAAACCGAAGATCAAAGTCATCAGAGGTATCGACAAGGGGCTCTCAAAGCCCCTAAATAGCTCCACAAGCTATGAATAAGAATGAAGCTCACAATAAGAGCCCAGCATTTCATTTCCTTCTATTCTACTTTTAGTAGTCCTAAGTGGTGCTGAGTTACCATAACTTACCAGAAGAAAATATTCTTTCGTACTACACCAAGTCTCTCTGCGCACAAACCACAAAACTACCCAATATAATGGTGCACAAGCATAATGGAAGCGAGATAATGCATGTAGCCTCGTTCTAAAATAGTTAGTGCATGGCAGGGAGGGTCTTATGGCTTGTTTGTGCCCTTCAGGGTAGCCCTCGGGCCTACGGCCCTCAGGCTAACCTGTCGGGCACTAACAAGCCATAAGGCCCTCCCTGCCATGCACTAACCTATAATTAAACAGTCAACGAGTGCGACAAAAAATAATGGCACAAAACTGACAAGGAGTACTGAGACATTCAGCGACCTGACACCTAGCTCCAATGAACAATGAACAATGGGCCATGTTTCCCGAACGTTTTCCGCTGGATGGCCCCTGGATGCCCTGCCTACCTTCTCATAGCCGCACCGATGTAGAACACCTTTCAACTTCCCCTGTAAGTGCTAACGTCAGCGCAGACAAGCAGCACTATACACTGCGTAGGCCGCAACAACAAGTGCAGTGCTACTTACTGGGCTTGAAAGTGATGATACCATAAGTAAAATAATTATCATTTCCAGGGTCAAATTTTATCCCCTCTGGCCATAAAGAAGTGCGGTATGCTATTGGTAGGGGCCTCGTGTAGCGTGCAGGTGTGACCAGGAGTGGGTCCCTGGCCAGGCGAGCTAGTCCAGTCACTATCGGCGGATGTATCGCCCTACTGCAAAGGGAACCACGCCAAAACACAGAGTACTCTTTGATCCGTCAAACATCCTACTTGGATGTACTAAATGAAGTGAAAAAATGGAATGCCCCAAAAATGAAATGATTATTATTTTGTTATCATGGTCTGATGTTTCGAGGAACACTTTTGACGGTGGCATGATTTGCTTAAAAAATGAAGAAACTTTGAGTACAGTACTAGTACATCAAGAAGTATTGGAAGAGCATTTCACGCTGGACTGTCAAACACCAGCTCGAGAGAGCTCCTTGCGGCCCACGTATGATCGAAAGCCAGGTGAGCATATCTTTCTGAGAGGGCATTGGATGTAAGAATACTGATAGTGTAAAACCGTAAAATTTCGGTGGAGTTTTATTTTCGGTAACTTCGTTACAGGTATTTTTTTACCGAAAATGAAACGCACCGAAAATATACTTTTACTGCATGCCGACTGCATGCAGTACGGAAACTGGTGTACCGAAATCTTCATGCCGCTGAACCGTTGATTTTGGGAAATACCGAAAATATTACACCACCGAGAATTGCCGGTTTTGCAGTATGTCATCTCAGCAATGTACACTGCAGCGACGTAATCATATCATACTGAACTGCAACCTATTGAGCATGAAGTGAAGCAGGTTTGAAACGGGATAAAACCATTAGCAGCATCAATATTGTCTGATGATGGTCGAACACTAGCCATGAAACTATGCGTAACAATGGGAAGATAGCTTTGTTCCATTGAAAACTTGTGTCATTTGGCTCTGCACTTGCGGCATCGAGCACTTTTGCAAGTAAATAGCGACTAAACTTGTACAGTGCAAGAATGTGCATATGCTCCTGATGGCGTTCACTTAACGAAGATAGAGGAAATCAGTGTGGCCATATTTATGCTTCTGTCATTCATGCGTGTGTTATCTCCAGAGGATTCACTAACCTGGGGTCAGCTTGCTTGCATCCTTTTAGCGATTCCTGTCGTCGTGCTCCTTGGACTTGTAATCGTTCAAGTGTGCCTATATTCATCTAAGAAAAAGTAAGCATGACTGAGGTGTGTGCATGCGCGCGTGTGCGCGTGTGTACATTATAATGGTGTGTGTGTATTATACGGTGTGTGTGTGTGTGTGTGTGTGTGTGTGTGTGTGTGTGTGTGTATGTGTGTGTGTATGTGTGTGTGTATGTGTGTGTGTGTATATGTGTGTGTGTGTGTGTGTGTGTATATACATGGTGTGTGTGTGTATATGGTGTGTATGTATATGTGTGTGTGTGTGTGCTTTTTGTATGCATATCTAAGAGTATGACTCACATGCCATTTAGAATCACAAGAAATTTCAAGAAATTTCTCCGCCATACATTCTTCTCACGAGCATGCTTGATGCCAAGTTGCAATTCTCTTTGTGACATTCCAGGGAACTGAAAGCACAGATGTTCATCATACAACAACGAAGCTATGCCCAACAGACCGGACAACTACTTGAGCCAAAGCCGTTTCGAGCAGTCAGTTCTTGCTCCGCTGGAAGCGCCTTTGATTCGGGCGACACTCCTGCCAGCGGAGACTGTATGGCGAACAAGTCAGCAGCACAACATGATCAGCCAGCGTATTTGGAGGTACACTAAATTAACACGGTAGTAGTGTGTATCGGGCCGGTTCTGGAGTAGGCACATGCCCCGGCCCGAAAAAATGGGGTATTATTGATAGTACCCCGAAAACAATACATACTACTCAACATGTCACAGCAGATTGGTGGCTCAGTATTACCCACAACGTCCGGGGTGATTGCACTACACACGTCCCTCGAACCGGCGGAAGCAGTTTCTGATTGACTGCACCATGCCATAGTCTCAAGTCGGAAGGCTGCTGGTTTGCGCATTCGAGACGTGATACAGATAAACATCAGGCCGTTGGATGCCAGTATCGCATCAGTCTGTAATGTGCTAGCTGCAGCATGTTCTGACTCGCCAATATCTTGCTTATTGTTAGTACCGGACAAACAACGGAGATAACATGTAAACTGTTGGCGATCTCTTTCTAATTCATACCCGATAGTCATTCATACTTCGAGTGTATGTTTATGGTAGGAACGCATTATCCGGCTCCTCAGTAGTCAGCATGCGTTGGTGGCCAAGCAGTTGATCCGCCGATGCCGCCGGGCCTGATTACTCACTGTGCGCACCTATGCATTGTCTCGTGGGTGCAGCTCCATTGGTCAAAGTAGCTGCCACACCGTACAAGATAGCACATGCAATTATTTTCCTGCTTTTGATCAATGGTATTCTCTTTCTCCAGAACAGTGCAGCATGCCGGGCTGCAAAATTCACCAAAAGTGGATTTGATTCTAATAATCATACTCCGAACTAAAGTAATTTCCTAGATGTACAGTCATGTATTCAAAGCTGAACCACCTTGAACCACCTTACACCACTTACCCTAAATAGTTTATACTCCAATCAGCGATATCAGGTGACAACAGATGCGATAAATTCACCACTAGAAAGTAACATTTATCGCATCTGTTGTCACCTGATATCGTTGATTGATGTAATGTTTCTTTTCAGCTCTCATTTTCTCGTGCTAGTTAGAGTTTATACTCCAGTAACTATTCCAGTGCCCCGTGCTATGTTACAGTGTAATAGCAGTATTTGGTTAGAGCCGTGGCACTTGTATTATTATTATTTTTTTAAAGTGTTTACACGGCATCCCACTGCATGCGCATGGTTTCTTTGTCTGCATGTTTTTTTCTCACTCCAGCTTGGGCTGATCATCTAACCCCCCCCCCCCTTGATACAATCATAATAATAATAAGTAACTTTATTAGAAATTCGGAACGACGCTTCACGCAGCTTCGTTATAGCAACTTGTATTGTGGCAACACTGGCCAACACTCAGATGCACTGCTTCTTCACACAGCTGAACAATTCTTCTTTCTTCTTTATTAGGAGGAGGATGACCCAAAGGCTGACCGCCTATCGTGGGGTCCGTCACATTGAAGGATGATGATAGTGTGGCTGAAACTTGCAGCCCAGACTGATTGCCCACCTTGTTGAGAGTTGAGCCCTTGCTGGGCTGGAATTTAAGAATTCCAGATTTAATAATTCCAGCCCGGCCTGGTCGGCTGCCTCGTTCACAGTCATGGTAGTCGGGCTGCCACCCCATATCTGAGGTGCTGGATATTTACGCAAAAACAAAGCATCTTGTGGAGTTAACATAATTATGGGATCTGGTCAGCCGCTGACGTACACTGTCACTGGGGAAGTTTTCATGTGTTTGCGTGAATTATTATTTCCAATTTTCTAAATGCATGCTATCAAGAGTGCATAACTGAGAAACTCCCCATTGGGGTTATATGTACACTTGATGCTATCGCTGGTCTGCCTGTCGACATGTCAGCCACGAGTCTGGCGGTCAACCAGCTTTGAGTTACTACTACTAGTACACATAAATTGTGACAAGAGTACATACCCCCCCCCCCCCCGTACACTTGCCAATACTTATTATAGTTATGAAGCAGAAAGGGACAAGTCAGTGCATTGCTTGTCGTGAATCATACATGTACATCGATATCACGTCATGAATCATGATATCGATGACGCGGGACACACTTCATACTTCATAAGTACCGGTATGTAAGCCTGTCTTCATAATAGGGCTTGAAAGCGATGACGTCAAAACGGCCAGGGAGTAGTAAGTTGACATCAGATTTCTATTTTTGGATCCACTATTAAAGGTGTGACTTTACTATTGCCTAAGTATGTGGGTGCATAGCAACCCACTCATGTCGCATGCAGGCGTGACTTTTATTTCGCCACCAGTTGTAACCCCGCCCCCAGTAGCCAAATCAGTCAGTTTCACTGGCTACATCACCATGCTGTGGGTAAGACCGCTTGAAATGATTATGTGCTTGGATCCATACAAAAACTGGATCCAAGTGGATCCAGTTTTTGAATTTTTGAAATTGTTGCTATGCTGTGACGTAGCACTTTCAAGCCATGATCCATGATCAACCAGTCACCATGGTCACAGGAAGCTGTCATGCGTGTCTCATGATAGCTCGCCGGGCCGCGTAGCGGGGCCGCGGGGCTGGTCGTACCAAAAATGCCACGATCGATCAGGCGCCTTCACACGTCGTTGTCACACTGCACTGAGCATTGCGGAGCGCGATGTACACTTGTCTTGTGCGTGTCTTTGCCATGCCAGGTATCAGTCTAGTCTGTGCGTGTACATAGTACTTCCATGCTCACATCGTACATCGTGGTCGTGAAAATAATCATCACGATCACGGTCGACGTCGATAGCTGATTGACGTTACCTCGATCCCAAATTTTTAATGCTGCTGCCTTTTCTCCTATAAATTTATGTGTAGAACCACACGTTCACCAAAATAATAATTCCCGGCAGCTCATGTCAAATGCTGCGGCACTGTACTAGTCGGCACTAGTCTGCAGTGCTAGTGATCGTCGTTCATCGTAACACAAGAGAACAAACGGGTGAATTCTGGAATAGTGTTTCAAGCAGTCACGCTCACAGTTTGTAGCACTAGTACTGCGTCCAGATCTGGAGTTTGTCGTGAGGCTTTGCGCTGACCTGTAAAGGATAGTGGTTGAAGCCACTGAGCTAGTTATCTGTGAACTTCGAGGCTTCACGATGAAGCATTGCCTGTCCTCGACCGTATCTGTATTCCTCTACTGGACGCTTCTAAAGCTTGAAGGTGAGCGACGGACGACATTACAAAAGTTGTGTACTGTTGCAGTAGGTATAAGATTGGTCGTTCACGAAAACATCGTTTCAGAACCCTCTGCCTCTGAAGGCAAACCGTGTGTGTGTGTGTGTGTGTGTATGTGTGTGTGTGTGTGTGTGTGTGTGTGTCTCGGACTCTTCCTGGCTTTTCTTTCATTCTCCTGGGTGGTTACCAACAGCCAGTGTATGCCGGAGTATGTGGTGTGGTGTGTGTGTAGGAAAAAAAATGGAAAAACGAAAAATAGGGATTCACTGACCAGAAAAAGTCACTTCAAACAGCTGTGTGGTGGATACCAGGCTAAAAATAGTGGCGGTCAATTCATCAGCCTTGCAAGCTGTTGAATGGTGTAATCCCAGCACAAGTTGCTATGTCTATCCTAGCTGTTCGCTATCATCGCTTCCGCGATGGGCATGTCTGAGGTCTGAGGTGTGTGTGTGTCACTGTGTGAGGGGGGGGGGGGGTACTCCATTGTACAGTCGTGTACTTGGTTATTCTACTGTCGTGGACATGGAAATCCAGTCGATCGACCGGGGCCGGCGCCCTTAATTAACGCATACAGAACAGCGCTTGATCCGTTCCGACCAGCGTGCTGCAGCATGTGTGTACTGGTTACCCATGGCTGCATGGCCAGCGCCCTGGGGCCGCTAGACGTGCGACCGGATTTCCATGTCCACGACAGTGCATGATTATTGTATTGTGCATGACTTGTACTGTATCGGATGTTAACGACCTGGTTCCGGGTCATCACTATAATCAGTGAGCGTTGGCCGGACACAGATGGTACTAGTATCAGGTTCAGCTCGACAATTACCAGAATGAGCACACTAGCCTGGTTCAGATTCTGGCTTTGTTCCTGTCTTCCAGAAATCTTCATAAATTGAACAGACATAGTTTGCGCCGTGTCTCCATGTACCAATGGCCGGTTATCACAGAAAGATGGAGACCGCATGGCTGTCTGGGTGTCACTAAAAATAGCAATTTGTCATTGCTGCATCGTGGAAACAGGGTTTTCTGCGTGTGCTGACCAGTACCAGTTCCTTTCCTGTACAACCCAGCCTCTCGACCTATACCAAATTGAAGACGGGATACCTTGTGGGCGTACTGAAATCTGCCTCTGAAACGGGACGATCGAGAAAATTGTCGCCGACTTGGTCGGAACAGAAGAGGCCCAATCTGTGCATTTTTCGACAGCTGGCCAGCTTATCTCAGCTAAGGAGAAAAAACATTCACAGGTTGTGTGACCCTCGGCTAGAGGTCGAGTTTGTCGCATCCGTAGGAATGCCGCCACTGTCAAGGATCAAGGCGCAGGTGCAGCTCCTAAAGCGGTGGGAGGTGAGTAGATCAGACCCACCACCAAAGCTGTCAAAGACTGAAAATCCCATTCTCTGCATCCATGCTTCCCATTTAAGGGGATACCTAGGATGATAATCTCCTGCTTGGCGTAATCACTAGTGCTTCCTGTGTACCAGTGATCTCTATGAGCAGTGCTTGGGAAGTATACAGGGAAACCTGCCTTAACCAGATGTCCTTGGTGCAGCGGAAACTATCCTAACACGACAGGATTCTGCTTGATGCAGGGATGCATGCTCGATCTACAGCACTTCAGTGCATGAACATGTGTCCGGTAAATACAGGATTCTGCTTGTTACAGGGTCCGGCAAACACAGGCTTTACTGTACAGTGAAGCCTGTCCAGCCTCACCGCTCTAGAGGCCTTGCAAGTGTGGTCCCCGTGTGCAGATGGTCTTCCTGTAGCATCCCTTGATCCTGAGGCTGTAGTGATCCTCTGAGACAAGTGGTCACTCTATTTAGTCAGAGTGTGGGCAGTGACATGCTTTCCTGTACTGGATTGTTACTGTATGGTGTCACTGAGGAAGTCCAGCAGAGAGATTGCTCACTCACTTTGTTCCATGCACTTAGGTGGGCAAGGATTCTGTTTTTTAAAGATGGCTGCCTTTTCTTGTGTTTTGCTGGTAGTTTTGAAACTCTTGTTTTCTCTTGTCACAGAGGTTTCCGCTCAGGACCCACCATCTCCTCTCGTGGTGGATGCATACGAGGAGTCAGCATTGATCATAGCATGCCCGGCCCCTCCATCAACGCCTGCGGTGAGCCTTTTGTTCCCGAAACCACTTCACATCCCCTTTTCATACTGAGTCACCTTGGTGCACTGGTTAAAGCAACTTTTGAATATCCCCGATCAGAAAATTTCGAAAACCTGAAAAGTGAAATGAAGGATCTCAAGCGGATATACCGAAGGAAACCGCACAGTGAAGTTATATAGTTTGACCCCTATCCCATCCTACCTACCATGTGACTGGTTGTCCTATGCTAGATCACTAGAATCAAGACAAAAGGGTTTCATTTTCACTTATATGGCACTGGATAAGGATGTTTCTTACGTATGGGGACCGTATTTGGAGGGTCATTTGAGCAGCCACGCAAGAGGGAGGTTTGAGGTCAGTGGCTTCTTTATGCGAGTCTGATGCTTTTCTGTATCCACTGGAATGATTTGATATTATTTTGTGGTCCTGGCAGCGGAGTGACAGTTAAGCGCAGCCCTCTGAGCAGCTTTCTGTATGTTCTTGAGTGACGTGAGTAGGTCTGCGACTTGCTGCTGTGTTTTCAATGCTTTGTCTGCTCAGAACAACATCATGTGGTATGGGCGGAATAACACCAAGAAGGGCACAGGGCCAATCATGGTTGTCTCCAGCCTTGAAGCCGAGCATGCTGATGTGTACTGGTGCTTTTGGGAAACGCCCGGCGGTGAAAACTTCTCAGCCGCAGCCCAACTGGTCGTAACCCCATGTAAGCTTTTAATGACGGGCAACTGGAATAGTTGCATACTGGTATTGCATCTCAGCGCGTGCCGGTGTGAGAGCCTTTGTGCACCAAACGTCACACTTAGAGTGGGTGCGTTCGATTATGCCCACGAATCGATTCGTGCTATTCACATCGCCCCGTGTGAATAGCGTGAATGGATTCCGAATCGATTCCAGGGCTCATGACATGAAATCGAACGGCGAGATTCCATTCATGAATCGTTTCAAGTGCATAATCGAACGCAGCCAGTGGGTGCGAGCTCTACACAAGATCATGCTAAGTGTGACATTTGGTACACCAAGGCTCTCACACCGGCATGTGCTGAGATGCTATACCAGTACTACATGTACAGTCAGACCTCGCTTAACCGCATGCATCCGTTTTCCACAAAAATATCCGGATAGGCGAGGGAACCGGATAATCGAACAAACATACTGTATGTATGCATGGCATATGTTGTAAATCGGTAACCAGCGATTTTCTTCCGGATGGCGAGGGATCCGGATAAAAGAGGACCGGATAAGCGAGGTCTGACTGTAGTATGCAATTATTGCACACAGTACAGATGGACTGCACAGCGTGGAATATGTGTACAGATTGCATGTCACATCACGGTTCTAGCCAGGAAGAAGGTGTAGGGGTAGGAGTGGGGTGTGTGTGTGTGTGTGGGGGGGGGGGGGGGACACACTGTTCAACAGCGTTTCCCATGTTCCACTACTTCCTCGTCACAACAAAGTGCTACATACAGTTGTACAGAGCGCCCGGAACGATTGATTTGGAGCCTATATACTTTTAATTTTTAAGTGTATCCACATCACACACGCACGCGCACACACACACACACACACACACACACAAGTTATGTTTCCTGCCTGTTCCCCCCTATTGCTGTTGCACAGATGTCAGCTATAAGTGGGGCTCCGCTATCACGTCACTACTCCTCTGCCTCATATCGATGTCAGTTATCTTTGCCTGGGGATTGATCAAGCAATACTACCAGGCACGCACGTAAGCAAAAGTAGCATTCATGTTCACAAATTTGAACGAATTTAGCCCATTCAGCTCTAAAGACATGTATGTATGTCATTGGAAATGACGCACAGGCGCTGATGTATATTACCCGTCTTTACCAATGCCAATTAAGGAGTGCAGAGCCTGGGTGCCATGACCTACATGTATGGCCTTATATGGGTTAAAGCGTGCGTGCATATACAGTAAAACCTGTAACTAACGACCACCGTGACTAGCGACCAGCCCGGTACTACCGACCACTTGGCCAGGTACGGACGGTCTCACATTCAAAATTCACTGTGACTAGCGACTACCTGCTGAACGCGACCAGCGACCGCCTTTTCTTGTCCCAAGGACAATTTTTGACGCGTAACTAGCGACCGCGATGTAGGAATTCAAATGTTGCTCGAAGCAAGCTTCTTCTTGAAATTTTGATGATTTTTAGTGGTCCTGAAAGGAATCTTTCGATACCACAGCTGAAGAAATGAACGCAGGTCATTTTGACTGTGGAGTTGGTGTGGACTGCACTACACCTGTCAGAATTTCAAGCGATGTCACCCCAGTCATACAGACGAATCGATGATAGCATCAAGGAATCCAGAAACAAAGCAGCACCGCAAGGTCCTGATGCTGAAGGATCGCGTTCAAGCAATCGAGAAGTCGCATCAAGGACAGTCGGTACGATTGATCGCATGAACAAATTTGAAGCCCAGCGCAAAACGAAACTTCCACAGGGAACATTTGACTCCTGGTTTCAGAAGTAGGAGCTGAATTTGATTAATCTTCTCTCTCTCTCTGTCTCTCTCCGTCATTCTCTCCAAGTGTTGTTTGACCTGAAATAAGAATGGCATTGCGCAAGTCTTGGGGAATTGTATTAGCTGCATTTTGATACACATATCATATAATGGGATCCATATATGGTCGCGCGGTGCAAACCTCTAACTAAAGACCACCTGCTACTAAAGACCGCTTTTGCTGGCACCAAGGGGTGGTCAGTAGTCACAGGTTTTACTGTACGCAGAATCCCGCTAACATACCCATACTCCAATCTGGTCACTTTTTGTTTCTTCCTCTTTTCACCCACATGGTCCCTGTCGAGCGGTCACACCAGACATCGAGAGCAAAGCTTGAATGGCTTGTTTTTTTGTCCGCCAAATTTTGAATATCTCGAAACACGCCATCGTTCGCAAGAAATCGGAAAGCAGAACAGTGGTGATCTACAACTTGTGTTCAGTTTTCATGAAGAAGAAAAAACATCAACAACAACAGCAACAACAAGAAGCAAAGGAAGCCCGGATCCTGAATTGCGACTTCGTGCTTTTTATTTGTTCGGTGTGCATGGACGCGATGATTCGAGTGACGGTGTTTCCTGATGTTGAGCTTTCTGCTCCGCCGGTTGTTGTTCTTCAACTCCATCGCATTTCACTCTCTTCTTCGTACCTTTCTTCATGAATTCAGTCGTGAGATTGATACCTTGTCTTGGACTCGAGCCACAGCTCCAACAATCTATGCTCTAGACGCACAGTCCAGTAATCCCTGGTCATCGGAGGAAGTCAAAATCAAACTGAACTGTTAACTTTGGATAGACAGACACTGTCAAAACCAAAGCCAAGGCGAAGGCATACATGTAGCACGGAAACAAGAAAGAAGAATATCGATATCAGTTCCTGGCCTCATGTCCACTACAAGGCTACATGGTGTGTTCCAAGCGCACTAATTTTTTTTGAGTTTCGGTTTTCAACCGCTTGTACAAGCTGTGGCTTAAACAAGAGGAAAAAACCCGCTGAGAGTCAGCAACGGCTGAAAGTCGCTTGCAGGACATTTTTCAGCCGTTTCCATGGTAATAGTGACGTAAACAAGCGCTTTTTTTCGGCTGAATGGCTGGATCGAGCTCGGTGTGACCGCGGCCTAATGGGACTTGTAACCACCCGATATCAGTTACGATAAATTTTGAATAGCCCCACCTAAGTTCTAGTTGATGGGAATCAGAATATTGTACCACCAACGGAGATGATTCAGTGAGGTGAGGGAGTGTGTGTGTGTGTGTGTGTTTGTGTGTGTGTGTGGGGGGGGGGGGGGGGGGGGTGGGGAGACTCTGTAATGACCCTGGCCTCGATTGTACGATATTGTTGCGTCTGGCCATCCTTTGGGCAGAACACAATCGACTTGTTCCTACCAGCTAGGCAGCTGACCCAGTCAGTGCTCCCGGCGCAAAATCAGCTTACGTGCAAATTCAGCTTACATGTACAGGGGACACGATAAGATTTCGAAATTGCTCTGACACAATGTCCTGCCACTTCTGGAACCGGTCGGACATGGCCGGACACTCTGATTTTTTTTACAAGTCTGGTACTCATAATAAAAAATAATTATTATTGTAAACACACGGCGAGGAGACAATAATTTGATAACCGCAATCAATAAAACTAGCTGAACCGACATTTGTGTACTTTATTCATGCAATGTAAAAACGGTGGAGACGATGTGCAATAAAACGATGAAACTATGAAGAAATGGTGTAGGGAAAACAAATATGGATTCAAACAAGTGGTAGCAAGTCTTCAGTGTACAATCATCTGCTAGCTAGTCCTGATTGTTGCAATTCGTATTCCGACTCTTCGTTCACTGTATTGTGCCGTGGTCGTCATGGTTATGGACTACAGTTAAAAGTGTTGGAAGCTATCTATCAGTGTCTGTACAAGCCTAATTTGTGTGTACAGAAAGATAGTATAATTGGGTTGAAATTGTTCAAGTAACGTGTCGTGTTTAGTGCGGCCAAGCTTGGCCGTTAATGTTCTAGGTGTAATGTACTGCTGTTATGTGTTATCACGTTGTCTTTCCTTCCTTTCTCCTTTGTTCATTTCTCGCTTTGATTGTTAAAATTCACACTTGTAAATTTCACTGTTGTTGCTCTTAGTGTTATTTCTCTAACTTAGATTTTCTATAATAGTTAAATTTTTGTTTCAGTGTCCTTTAGTACAACGACGATTCCTGATGAGTGTTGTACGAAAACTTGTTTGAATCCATATTTGTTTTCCCTACACCATTTCTTCATAGTTTCATCGTTTTATTGCACATCGTCTCCACCGTTTTTACATTGCATGAATAAAGTACACAACTGTCGGTTCAGCTAGTTTTATTGATTGCGGTTATCAAATTGTTATTGTCTTCACCAATTTCACACACGACACCACTGCATAATGCACACATGCATGTACATGCTACATCACACTGCGGTATTGCTGGTCACATCAAGTATGATCATCACACAGATCTCAAGTAGTGTAACACTGATTCAAATCGCTGTGCGTTTTTCAGCAAGCATAGTAACTGTGATATGAGCGTGCAGTGTTTCTGCACATTTCGGATTTGACCTGGTTTTTCAGCGGCAGATCAAAGACATTCATTTTTATGTAGTTGACAAAAGACAAAGTGGGCACCTGCTTGCCCATTCTAACTTCTTGTTGCCAGTTCCAAGATCGACAACATGTCACTACTCGAGTTGGCTGAAGGCTCCCATCTTTGCAAACGCGATGTGCTCTTTGAACAGCACGTAGTTTCTACGCGACGTTGAATTTCTGACTAACCTTCGCTGCTGCTGCTCCGTCGATCTTGCACAGCGCCTTTGCAACAGGAGCGTAGTTGACTGGATTTGCAGAAGACTGCTCCTTTTGATCGAGGCATATCACAACCTGGCACACATTTCTGACGCCTTGTTTCCCAGGAACAGGAACGTTTTCAATATTTCAAGGAATAGTTCGTATTGTAGCGAGAAAGCGAAGAAATTTCATTTCAAAACTCCTCGATCTTTTGCTACGCTCAAACTGGAGCTATACTGAAGTGGACAGCTCCCTGTCTTGCTGTAAAACCCTCTTGTCACAGGTGGCTGCTCCGACTTCGTGATACTTCTTCCCAGGCAGAGCGCCATTGTCCTCAGCCGTTCTCATTCCCAGCGACGCTATTTTGTGAATTTCGATCGGACAGATTGTCCGTTCAAGAAAAAAAGCGCCGGATTCGAATCGAAAATGGTCGGAAAATGTCCGATGTCCGACCGTTATCGTGTCCCCTGATGTATGTTAACCAACTCCTGGTCACGTAGAAGAGTGATTGAAAACAACTTTCCAATAAGAATCTTGTTGTCAAAATTTCACAGTAAAGTGGTTGGCTGTGACATTGTGCGTGTGTGTGTGTGTGTGTGTGTGTATGTGTGTATGTGTGTGTGTGTGAGCTTGCGCCCATGTGTGTGTGTGTGTGTGTGTGTGTGTGTGTGTGTGTGTGCGTGTGTGTGTGCCTGTGTGCATGTGTATGTGTGCATATGTATGTGTATGCATGAGCGTGTATGGCTATGCATGCACTTGTTTACGTGTGTGTGCACACACTGCACTAGGCTGATGCGCCAGGTCTCGACACTACCTCAGCCCAGCCCTAGACGCCGCAAGTTTAGCTACTTTGGCGAAACGTCAATCATACGAAGGTCAAGTCAGGCAGACCCGGAAGCACCAACAGCTTCCCTGACCGCAGCAGGTGTACGCCGTGTCACCTTTCAGCCCCGTCGAGTATATAATGATGTGCTCGCAGTATAGATCGACTGCCAAGCGAGCCAGAAATCCTTCTAGGGAATTTCCCCCCTGGCTTCAAAATTGTATCGAACACAGGCTCAGCGTTATCTTGTCTTACCTGTGAAATGGCCTCGCATTGTGTTCGACTATGGTATTACATAAACCTTGTATTGTGGGGCTTTGCCAACCGTGGATGGTTGTAGTAGGGAGCACTGTTTCTGAACACCGTGTTCCACCGCCTTGTACTATGCTGTCAAAACAATGTGTTGAACCAGTGTATACATGTAGTAGCGAAGTACTCATGCCATGGTCGCTTGGGAACAGTGATAGCTACAAATGACATTGTATGCGCGACATTGGTGAAGGTTACTCGTGACTCTCCTGCAAGCGTTCTGTTTCAACTCTGTGGTAACCCGTCACCCATCTGCTAAAGTCACGTTGGCTCCAGATTCACCCGAAAGTACATGACATGTACCCTGGCCCGCGAGCATTGTATTGGTGATAGTCGGGCTTGCTGGACTTCGCTAATTCGCGAACTATCATAATATTTTATTTTTGGTTACGTGCGAAAAAATTTGACCCAATTTTCCGTATTCTATGAAAAATTATTTTTATCAAGTGCTTGAATGTATTGTTGGATCCACAGGCGCACTATGCTAGTGATTGCCATGACAACCACGAGCATGTACAATCATGTATTTCTCGCCTTTCCCTATGGAAACGCATACAAGTACAATCTTATTACTTATGATATCAGATAAGCCTTGTTTCGTTGAAGCATGTTCTTGGTTGACAGCATGTAGCAAGGTGGACACGTACCACCTTGTTCGGAAACAGTGACCTTACTACACCCATCCACGAGGTTCAGATGGTCGTCAAGACCGGGGCTCTACCAACCGTGTTGATTAGATGGTTGTAGAAAGGTCACTGTTTCCGAACGCGGTGGTCCTCCACCTTGTTACATGCAGTCAACCAACAACAGGTACAATCATGTAGTATTCAGAGTGCGGGACATTTCAGAGTTAGGCAGTACCTGCCGTCCAGACTGCCCTGATAAAAGAGGTACCGTATTTCCCCGATTATAAGTCGCACCTTTTGACACTAAACTTCATTCCCAACAAAGGAGGTGTGACTTACAATCGAGCGTGACTTACTACTGAAGTGAATAATTATATTGAAACGATATGCCAAGGACCTGAAAATGGGTGCGACTTACAATCGGGGAAATACGGTACAGTGATTGTATGAGTGTTTCCCAGAACGACTTATTACGACTGAGCATGTGTGCGACGTGAAATCTGACCTCAAGTGCATTATCAATTTTAAATTATTTGGGGTCCTGGACTTGTACCAGACTTGGTACCCTAGGCTACAAAATAATTGATGGTGCACGTCATAGTGTCGGATAGTTTTACTGGGTGGATCCGCACCATGTGAAACTGTGAATCGGTGTCCTTACCTGGCTTAGGCTACCTCCTTACTTAGCAGTGCCGCTGGTCCTTCTCCTCTGGTTGTAGTACGGATCCCCCCGCCCCCCCCCCCTCCCCTACTACATGATACATGTAGGCTAGTACTACTAGTTCTCGTGTAGTGCTTTCAGTTGCTCAGTGAAATCCGATCCGGTGAGCGAAGTCGAGTTAGTACGACAGTACGAGTCCTCGTACTCAGTAGTGTTTTGGGAATGCGCAGCGTGACCAGTGGTGACCCCGCAATCGGATTTCATCGAGAATCATGATCAGGCTTAGCCTAGCCTAGCCCAGCCTAGCGCCTGTCACCAGGCAGTGGTGTGCACAGGTACCGACGGTCCGTGAGGATCCTAGCCTAGGACTCGGAGTAGATCTACAACTACAACACGTACAAGTACAACAGTACTGTAGATCTACAAAAGTACAATATTATACAAGTCTGCAATCGCGCGAGTATGCAACCCCAGCATGCACTGCACCATGCATGACCATGTCCATGGCATGAAGCAGCACAGCAGGTAGTCGTATTTCACGACTAGTCGACTCCCTGCTGCTAGGCACTTTGTAAACGTGACAATAATGTCACCATCTCCGGAGCTCCCTCTCTTTACTCTTACTGTCTTAGCCTGAAACCGCGATGCTCTTGCAACGAACCAGGTGCTCTTCGAAGACAAGGAACGGCTTTTTACGTTAGGCATGTAGGCATTTTCGCATGAGCTGGTGAGTGGGTGAGCCAATTTCGAAGAACTACTGGAACATAGCTCAGAGCAGGTCGACTCGCCACTCGAACAGTGCATCAGTAGTGCCACTAGTGGTAGCGCTGGGCGCGTGTTGTTGGCGGTGATGCCATTGCCCAGGCCAGGCCAGGAACAATCGATCCATCGGCAACCTCACGCGCGAAATCACGCAGAGAGACGCTGTTTCGAACGTTTCCTACTTCGAGTGCGACTTCTCAACACAATAGTTTGGCACGGAACGCACGCGGTGTTGCCCAGTTAGTTTAGTTCCCCATGACCAGTGCATGCAGTGTGGATGTCCACAAGATTTTAGTGTTTTGAACTGAACATTCTACGAGTGGGCGTCATTCTGCTCTGAGTTGCTGCAGCCTTCAGGCCAGTTCAGTTGCTGCCTTGGAAATGTCATGAGCACTAACTCAGCAACTGATATCTATGCAGACTAGGCTGGCGACCGTGTATTCCCGTCCCAATAGGCAGTAGCGAAGAGTCCACTCAGGTTTAGTAGCAAAGGGAAACCTGCACCCAGGCTATGTTGCTTCTACCTACTAGTACTAGTACCCGACCAGCTTCAGCAGTTAGCAGTGCGTGTTCGTAAACACTCCAGAGAAGTACGCCGGCCGTACTCGCTAGTCTCGAATTATTTTCTTTTGTCAACTCGGGAGATGGAGCCTGTTTGGTTCGCGCCGCAGAGTCGCTCCGGTCTGTTGCTGTCGTTTGGCATCTTGGTGGTCGTGGCCTCGTGGACTAGTGCAGGTTAGCTCGGGGCTAGAAATCTGTTTCACAGGTATCATGCTATCCGTAAAGAAAAACAATTGTCAGCGTATGACCGTACCAATGAGCGCTAGCTGCATGCACGTCGTTTGTATTGTGAAAAATTCTCACGACGCTCTGAGCCTGAGGTCTCGGATCCCCGGCCTGGGGCTGTGGTCAATGAGTGACCCCAAGCCAAAGCCTCGAAATAATAATATTTGGAGCAACCATCAGCAGCATGATCAATGGGGGTGTCATCAACCGTAATAGGTGTGAGCTGTTCTGAACTGACTGAAGTAACCCAAAGTCACATATGCTCAGTCCCTAAAGTGGTCGTACTATCCGTGATGAGGTTTGAGCTGTTTCTAATCCCTACTAATAGCGTTACTGTGTCCCATTGCATGGATTTCGAAGCAAGGGAGCATTGTTGTTCTTTATTGATAGCAATGAATAGTATTAGTTCTGCGGTCATGCCACACAACAAAGAAGACTCCCAAGAGGTTTAACAAAAATCGATTTTCTTGT